CTCTAATCTAAGCTAGAGTTTAGTCTTTCTTACTTCTGCATTTCCTAATTTTGGTACTTAATTAGACACGCAACGCAATATCGTTTTCATCCAGATACGCTTGATTTGATTGGGCATAGCTACCTGTACGCTGTACCTAAATATATACATATATACATTGTTGATGTGTAAGTTAGACAATTAGTTAATTAGTTACTTACAGGTTCGATATGCAAGCGTGCATCGAGCAGACTGGTAATTGCATTTGGTTCGTCTGCCCCAGCCATGGATACATCTGAGTCGTCGTCGTCAACATTTGTGTAGCCATTGCGAGTGGCATTACGTCGCTTGAAGCATATGAAATTGAATGAGCGGCGGCTACGTGACATGACATATACCTTCAAGTAGTAGGTTGTATCGCATATGCAAATAAGGAAAACGCAGTTGTACAAATAGCAAGAGAGATAACAAAATTAAAATKAACTTTACCAAACCAGCAAGCAGAACTACTCCCACCAACACCAAAATGGGTAACCATATGTATTGGGCATCGTCTGGATGTTCCAAATCAGGGCTTACGGTTGTAATAGGCTCAACATCCATAATGGTTCTTACGAGGCTGAACGAGGATTTAAATCGCCGATTGAATGCCAAAACATAAGCCGGTGCCAGTGTTACCACAAATAACAACTGCTCTTTACGAGTTATCGTTAGTGAGCAAAGGCCGTGATGGAAGTTACAAAGCCTTCAAAGTCAMGTCAAATTTTTGACCAATACTAARCACCARTTACTCATACCAGTAATTAATGATGTCCTTGTTTAAATTKATGTTTTTTCTATTATATTTCCCAATTATTCGCTTCTTTTGTTTTCCTTCATACAATGAATTGTAGTGGCCATAATGCGATATTAACCTATCGATATTCATTTTTCAATATCTTCTTCTGTAAGTTTCCTCTTGTACCATCGCTAATTGTGCTGTGTTTGGTCTCCTTTGTAGTGCTGCAAAATAATCGATATTCCGTAATATCGATATTCGCGATATTTTCAGAGAAAAAGATCGATAAAAACGATATATCGAACACTTCTTTTAAATGTTAATTTTCTTGCTTAGAATCTATTATAATATTTATATTAATTATGACTTCTTAATGGATAAAATGGCAACCATTTCAAGATTAAAATAAAAGCAACAGCATCAAACAAAAACAAATTTATTCAACCGAACAAAGTCGTATAACAAATTATTTTTCATTAACTTAAACCTAAAACAGCAATTCATTAAAGCTTAAATTCACTATGCTCCTTAAAATTATATTATAATAATAACAAAAACAATTGCCTCCATGGCAGTTTGAAAAAAAAAAAAGAAATTAAAACAAAACCCATTGGTTTTTATTTAAAAAAATTAGTTTGTTTACTGTTTCCGGTTTTAATGACGCCCTTCTGGAATTAGCAATCATTCCAGCTTTGCTAAACATCCTCTCGCTCTCAGAGAACGTTGCCTCATATTTTTTATTTACGAAGTGCAAAATGCTACCGGACTTGGGTGCCAATTCACTCTCTTGCAGCGATGGATGCATGCGTGTTAAGTGATTTTTAAGGCTTGTGGTATTTCCACTTGTTTTGCAGACCTTAAAGCAATTTCTGCACACCGCACAACCATCCTTTCCTTTTTCAAAATATTTCCACACTTCGGATTTTTTTGGGGCTCCCACGGTCTTATTTTCTTCATCGGAGTC